TCCCAGCTTTACTGTATGTGATCACACACAGTTACAAACACAGGGGGGGAAATGCCTTCTTGGCAAATTCACTTATTAGGGCTCCCCGCCCCTGTGCTCTGCCCTTGGTGCCAATCACGAAACACACCTTGCTCTCCCTCAGCGCGGCATTCAGGGAGTGGGAGCCACACCTTCCCCTTTAATCATTGCTGTGATCTGGCCACTACCCAGACAGCTTCAAAATCATGGACGCGAGAGTCCAGCTTCAGAAACACAAGACAGCAGACCGACGGTGTGTTCTATGTTCTCTTCACGAAACAAGGAGTCGAGCGAATCAGACACTTGCCACATTCAAAATACTCTGCCTATCTCCTGGGCATGATCACTACCTCACAGCCCTCGACTGATTTTTTTGGGGGGAACGGGTTCTTTCACCAACTTCTGGGCATGGTGCTTCCTGAGCTCAATGCTCTCATTCATAAGAACACCACAGCACGGCATGCGTCTGAGAGTCCTGTTGGGTAGCCATGTGTCCTAGCCCCTTTCCTCTTTTAAATTTTAAATAGTGCAAAGGAACCATTTTCCCCGCGAGGCTCCCACACTTGGGATGAAACCTCCTCTGCGGAATTTTGGCACCCTATTAATTAGCGGTTATGAGTGGGAGCTGCTCTCTCTCAGCAACTCCTATTCTGCCATCAGTCAAGTGTGATTCTGTAATAAATTCCCACAAAGCAAACTATTTCTGGTAATTCTCCCTAATTAACACCAGGCCCGCTAATAATACATCAGTACCTATGTGTTTCTGATATAACCAAGATCTTGTCTGAGACTACTCCAAAAGGGAAACCGCCAAGCTAAATTAAGCTTTTGCAGGCAGAAAGGATTTTATATGTAGTTCTGTAAGAAAACCTTTGATAATCTTATATTGGGGACATTTGACCAGCAAACATTGAACGGCAGGCAGGCTTGTTCTGGTTTGAGCACTGAATGGGGATTTATTGTGAACACACACGGTTGAGTCTTAAGCCTATAAATCTTGTACTGGATTACTGTTTCTTAACGAAGGAATGACAGATCTCTTATTTTGTCGGTGTATTTTAATGTGCAATGACGTGATTGATAGAAACCAAACAGCAGCTATTAAAATGTCAGATGCAGACTTGATGCCCTTATAAGTTTGGCTTCTGGAGTTTAATATACTGTGAGCAAATAGACTTGAATTTGTCTTTTATTCCCACTATACAGCCTGCGACAGAAACATTCCTCTTAACTTTGCACAGTTGGGGGGGAAAATTCTTACTCAAACCAATAAACAAATGAGGAATAGGTGAGCCTATCTAGTCATAGGAAAGTTAGCTAATGAGAGCGGGATGGGTTAAGCATGAAGGAAAGGACCCTAGTCAATGAAAAATGTGAAAATGTAGACTTCTGTTGTTTGAATATGATATATGACACAACAGAATGTTTGACAGGACAGACTGCTCCAATAACTTCAGTAATAAATATTTTTAAAGGACAAAGAGCTTACTTATCAATAAATTCACAAATATTTGTGAATGTGTGTAACAGGCAGAGTGTAAAAAAGGTTAAAGTGTCCAGCCAGTGCTGCTCAGTGGTTGAGCATCAACCTATGAACCAGGAGCTCACAGTTCGATCCCGAGATAAGGGCACATGCCTGGGTTTCAGGCTTGATCCCCAGTAGGGGGCAGCTGATCAATGATTCTCATCATTGATGCTTCTCTTTCTCTTTCTCTCTCCCTCTCCTTTCCTCTCTGAAATCAATAAAAACACTTTTTTTTTTTAAAGGGTTAAAGTAAAATAAATGTGACAATATTTTCAAATGTTTTGTTTCTGGGAAATTTGATAAACAAATGTCATAAGGGGATTCTCCTGAGAATTATTACATCTCTTCCTGTCCTTTGAACATGATTTTTTTCCCCATGATAACTTAGTAGAAACTACTTGCCACCCCAAAAGAAAAACCAGGAGAGCTAGTCTATATCATTGCAGCCATTTATTTGTTATGTGCTCATTAAGGTATTAATTTCTCATGTGATTTTTAATTAAAAAATACATTCAAAAGCAAAATAGCACAGACATATATGTATATAAACTTAAAAAATGTAAAGAAACAGAAAATAGAGATTAATGGATAAGGCAAATGATACATTGAGAATACAAACCCAAAACCTTAAAATACCTGGGGGATGAAGAGAGACAAATGGAAGCCATGCTGGATGTGTGCATCATTCTCAGCATGTGTCCCCCTCCTGCCTGCCAGCCTCTCCTTCAACGGGGGCTGCAAACATCACCAACAGGTTAACAAGCTAGCAGGTTCACGCTTGATCAAGTTTAGGAAGACAGGATTCTTTATAGAAGTGACCCAAATATAGTGCCCCTTGAAAATGGTATTACAAAGACATTTTTGTTGTAGATAATTTTTAAACATAATGCTGGTCTGATATTTTGAATATTTAAACTCTTATTTCTGTTTATCTTAATCCTGGTCAAATGATTAGGTTTTAGCTTTAGACTCTAATGTAACCCGAATGAATAGAAAGTATGCAAGCTACTATAAGCACAAGCACAAGCACAAGCACAAGCATAAGCATAAGCATAAGCATAAGCAAGCACAGGGAATTCTTGTTAGGCTGCTCCCTCGGGGGCAACGTTCTGTCCTTGTTATTCAAACTGGGAGGTCCTAATAGGGGGTGTTTTAAAAGTCAGGTACTATGACTTTAATCTGTATTGTGCCAGGTACAGCTTTCCAAAATATACATCTAGAGATTAAAAGTAAATGCTCTACAATAAAGAGGTAATAATTTAAAAATGCTACTGACAGGGAACATTTATAATCAGAAAAATAAATATTCAGGGAGCTCACCAGAATAAGAAAGTGCTCTGCCTGAGTTTTTAAGAGATTAACGCTGGGGTGTTAAGTATGGCATTCCCCACTGGAAAACAGAGATTCTTCTGGGTTATAATCAGTATTTATTTCATAGAATTTAACTGTTTTAGGAACCAATAGTAAAGAAGGGCAAAGCACAATGATGATGATACATTAGGAAGTAATGTTATACACTCTTAGGAATAAAATTTAGAGAAATGCAACATTATGCTCTATGAAGAACATGCAGAAAGAAAGGTCTAATAAAAATGATATATTAATGTAAGATAATTTTATATGCAATCCAGGTCAAATAAATTTTGAAGAAGATATCCAAATGCCATAGACTTATCAAATACCATCTTGGCATATAAGCTATAAAGGCAAAACTAAATAACAAAAAGAAACTTCTACCACACCACAACAAAACCACCAACTACTTTATACTGCGTAAAGCAAAAGACTGACATTAAGATATGACAACGCATATGAGCCAGTATGTCTTCTATAGGTGGTTTCCACAGCAACAAGAACTAATACACAATTCAGTTCAGCGCTTAACACACACACAAACACGTCCCGCTTCCCTACAGGGTGAGGAGATGGTGTGGGGCTGCTACTGGTGAAGCATTCCGTTTGCCGTTTTGTGTCACTCTTCTCATTCTTCTCTCCCCCGTTAATAACTATCTGCATATAATTTAAATCTGCTAGGCTATAAATTAACAGCTTCCAGGACAGATGCCTTAAAAAGTTCTTAGGGAAGTCCAACAAATATCGTAGTCTAACACTCGCCTCTGCAACAAACTTGTACACAACAGAAGTGAAGTCATCAGTAAGTGATAGGAGAGGAAGGACTTGGGGCTCAATCTCAAATTTGAAAGCACCTTGCTCCCAACAAATTTAAATTATAACTTAGGGGAATCATGAGCTTTCATCCATCCTGGAAACACAAAGAGAAAAACTACCAAACGCTATAATTTCTTTTCTTATTTTTCCACAGTTCTCTGTCTTCGTGTGGTAGCTACATATATTTTTTTCCTCAAATGAAGAAAACAAATAACGGCCAGCCTGAATAATTAACCACCAAACCTCTGTGCATAAAAGTTTTCAAACTTCGTGAACACATCTGGAAGTGGTTCATTTATTACTGAGAGAGAACTATCAAAATAAAAAAAATTAAAAAAAATCTAAATTTTATCACATGTTCAAACCAATCTGTTATTTTCTAATAGAGAATTCGAGAAAAAAAAATTATTATGCAAAGTCTCAAACCTTCATCAGTCAGTAGTACAACTCTGAAACTAATTCATTGTCAAAAAAGAGTAATTTTGAGAGGGAAAGCTACCATAATTCCCAATCACATTCTTTCTATTCATTCTCTTTAAGAGAGAGAAAACTCTCAGTCCCAAGTTACTCAATTAGCTCTTTACCAGAGCATGAAGGGAGAGAAAAAAAGAGTTTGACTACTATAAGTAATAAAACAATGAATAAAAATGGTCATATTTTTAAAAAGGCAAAAATTTGAGACTTACAAGTTATATGGTGGCATCTCTTATTGGCATGACACATTTTGATCAAGATCTCATTGACCTTTCCTACTGGAATGATCAACTGTAAAATTTAAAAATGCATAGTTTTTAAAAAGGGACACCTACTACTACTGATAAAACTCTGTTTAAACTCCTATTTACTTTTTGAAAGATGAACACTAATTTTAAAAAATACAATGTTTTGCTTATTGATCAATATAAGGCATTTTCATTGCCTTTTACAAATTTAATTTTAACTACCTAAGAAGAAAAGCATAATTATTTCAGCATAGAAGTTGTAGTTTTTATTCTAAAATTCAATTCTTCGCTAATTTATTTAAGATGAACTAGGAAATTGGTTTTTATAAAAGTTACTTTATGGGAGGAAATACAAGGAAAAAGTAATAACAAATGTCAAACTGTCTCTTTACGTTACGAAGCCAAATATTTCCTCATAGATTTGGTTTTTAAAGCTAGAATTTATCCCTTCTGAGTTACTATTATTTTTCAAAAATCCATATAAATATTAAACCTAAAAATTGATTGGTAATTTTAATTCTTCTCTTCTCTTCAAATTTCTTTCTCTTCTCCTGAACTGTAGACTTTCAAAAATTCACAGAATGAGCATGTTTCTTGCAAAGTGGCTTGTCTTTCTTGGAGAAAAAGGCCTGACCTTCCAAACTTTCACAACATACCTGGGGGGGAAAAACATTATATAAGAGAATATAATTAGTTTATTAAATGTGCATGAAGGAGAAAATGATTTCTCACCCAATAGTTAATAAAAGCACTTTAGTTGGTTGTTAGACATCCTGACATTCACAATGACTTTATTTAATCAATCTTTAAAGAATAATGAAGAATGACTTTTTCTGGAATGCATTCTAATCTACTTAAATTACTTATCATTATTTAACTTTATTGGGGGTGAAGCAATTGGTCCTAAAGAAAAACTAACACCTAAGGAGGTCACACTAAATATAATTCCTCTTCCCAAATTCTAATCAATGCTTTTAATCTGCCTCCTCTTGTAGAGAACCAAAGCATTCAAACAGAAAACACAACTCCTTTACCAAACATTCTCAAGCCCCCAAAACATAGGCATAGAATACTTGAGAGTTCTTTTTAATACATCCCTTTGTTTTTTATAGTGAAAACCCCAGTCAGCCATCTCACTGCTAGATGATTATGCAGTCAGTTAGCTATCCACGTATGTCTTCTTGTCTTTCCTAATGCCTTTGTTAATTATAATGCTCATGAAGATAAATCTTCTGAAAGTTTTCAATAATTTTTAAAAAATGGGTTTTTACTGATTTCAGAGAGAGTGGGAGAGAATCATTGATTTGCTACCTCCTGCACATCCCCTACTGGTGATCAGGCCCATAATCTGGGCAAGTGCCCTCACCAGAATGAGTATGACTTCCTGGTTCATGGGTTGATGCTCAACCACTGAGTCACACCTGCTGGGCTAAAAGATGTTCTTTAAATAAATTTTATAACATCTATGAGACAATTGAGGTAAACTAGAGAGTTGAATGGTAACATTTGGAATAATCATTTGGCTTCAATTAACATGTATTTTCTCCCCTCACACAATAGGTAATAAAAACTATTTGTTAAAAACTAATTTTTGAAAATTCAAACATCTAAACAAAGCATCTTTATTGATATTTACTTGCTAAATTTCAAAAATATATCTTACGTTAATGTTAATCTCTGAATCTATGCTCATAAAAATTTTAAAACATTAAATGCAATAAGTAAACATATTACTACATGTTTATTATAGTCTCAAAAAATATTCATGGACTATTGCTAATGAAAAAAAAAATCACCCTATACTTTACTTCCAATGTTAATTCAATAGATTTTTTAAAATAATTAGTTATTTCTATTTTAAGAAGTACCTGTGCTTCCAAAAATTACTAAAAACATTCCATTAAGAGATGGTTTTTTTGTTTTTTGTTTTTAGTAAAGGACTTTTAACTGTTTTTAAATATACATAGCTTCTCCTTATAAACAAAAATGTATTAAAAATATAATTTTCTCTAATGGGTAAGCATCTTATTCTAAGCCAAATAATTTTTAAAAGTGCCAAAAATGATTAATAAACAACTTTAAAAATCACTGTAAAAATATTTTTAGGTTTGAAGGATTGGAAGATACAATCACTGTTATTTCCAGTTGGTATTTATGCTTGAATTGGCCACACAATGCTCCTTTGTTTGGGAGATTGGAGATGAATTCACTTACTGAGCACACAAAGCAGGTGTCATGCCAGGTATAGCCCAGGGCTTCCAGGAACATGTCGCCAGCTTCTATAGGAAATTCACATCCGCGGCAGATAGTACCAAAGAGGGCATAGTAATCTGTGTGGGAGGAGGAGACGTAATTTAACATGCCGCTGTAGAATGACAATTCCTAGAAAGCAGCAACAGAATCTGAACTGGATGAGATGATGAAGATAAAGTCACTAGTAATCAGAAAACTGCCAGGTGGCATATTTGGCTTGAGATAAGTCTTGGGTAAACATTATTTATACAACTTAACATTCTTTATTCTATTTTTTCCACGTAATATCTTTCCAACTACTTCAATGCCCAAATATGTATAAGAAGAACACATAAGTTATCAATAGACTTGACTGTCTCAATATAATGCAACAGAACTTCTAATAACTAGCAATAATAAGACTAATGAACTTAAATCAAGAAGAAATACCTGGAATTAGCAAATTTTATAGTATATCTGACTTGGTAAGGAAGGAAAAAAAAAGTCACAGGAGACTTCCATGAATAAACGCCACAACTGAGTTTCTAGCTGGACTATGTTACAATATTAGCCACGAAGTGGAGTTTTCTTGCTATATTTTCCTTTCAATTTTATGACTTCATGCTTAAAATCATTAGCTAGAGAACACCATTGACTTGACAGAGGTTGTAGTTATATTAATAGGACTTCCTCCTGAAGAAAGCAGTTTTGATAAGATGTTTCTTCATTATTACTAAACTAGAGGCTCAGTGCACAGAATTCATGCACAGGTAAGGTCCCTAGTGGCTGCCGGCTGCTGGCCAGGACTTCCCTTTCCACGGCTGCCTGCTGTCCCCTGGGGCCTTCCTTCCTGTGATTGGTCGGCCAGCCCCACCCTCTGGTTGAACTCCCAGTCAAGGGGACACTTGCATATTAGGCTGTTATTATATAGGATTAGATTTATTGGCATTTTAATTATCTTTTATATATATATGTTTACTCATGGTTCATTTTTTGGTCTTTGACGTTTTTAATCCAATCTGGGTTGGAAGACGATGTAGGCTATCTTGTGAAACTTGATTCACCTTTCTCAGCAATCTTTAATATTCCTTAGCACTATTTGTTCAACACAGCCACAGAGTTCTATTGTGTGCTAGGTACTGTTCTAGGCTCTGGCTGGAGGTATGGTAGTGAAGAAGACAGATGTGATTGCTCTCCTCATGAGACTTATATTCTCCTTGGGAAAAGATTGTCCTCATTTATTGTATTTTCAAAATAACTACCGTGTTTCCCCGAAAATAAGACATCCTCCGAAAATAAGACCTACTTACAGGTTTCCTTCTGAGTGAAATATATGGCATCCCCCCGAAAATAAGCCCCCCACCCCGCCAGGCTAAACATGAGAGATTTGGTCCACTGATTCTGAAAGAAATGGAGTCACAAGAAATTCACCAGGAAATTCAGGAATTGGATTGTTATGATGATGTTCCAGAAGATGATGACATGATTGTCATTGAATAAATGAGTAAATTCTTGATACTGTAGGATTCACAGTTTGTCTGGTTTGTGTTGACAACTACTGTACTACCGTACTGTATACAGTAATAAATTTCCTTTATTTTCATTTAACAATAAATGTGTACCGTATTCTTCTTCATGGAAAAATAAGACATCCCCTGAAAATAAGACCTAGTGCATCTTTGGGAGCAAAAATTAATATAAGACACTGTCTTATTTTCGGGGAAACGGGGTATGAAATAATTTCAGATTCTAAAAAGTACCACGAAGGAAAGAAAACGGTGATGTGATATAAAATAACTGAAGGATGTAAAATAACTGTTATATAACATTATAGGTGGGTTAGAGAAGGCTCTCTGAGGAGGTAATAGTTATGTTGAAACTTGAGAAGGGAAAGAGGGACCACCACGGAAAAGCTGGGGAAAACATCCAGTCAGAAGAAAGGGCAATACAAAAGCTCTGAGGTGGGAAGGACCTTAACATGCTCAGAAGCAACACAGGGGCAGGTATGGCTGGAGGCTAGAGGCCAGTGACTGGAAGGAAGGTGGCAGGAGTGAGGGTGGCAAAGCCGGCCCTGGGAAGGAATCTAGTTTTTACTCTAATGAAAGCCACAAAGGTATTACGCACTATCGGATTCACACTTAAACAAATGTTACCATAACTGGGGAACAGAAGATATACCATTTAGTTGTCAATTACAATGCTCGGGCAAAGGGTGAGAATGCTTTGGATTTAATGTTATGGCTGAAAGAAGAGAAAGGAATGAATTCAATATTCAGATTGGGGGGTATATGTTAGAACTTATTAATGAAATTGGACACAGGGAGAAAACGGGTAAGAGCATAATCCCAGATGGCTCCTAGGTGTTGGAATGGTGGACTGGGTTAAGAACAGGTCTGGGAGGTTAGAGAAAAAGAACAAAAATGATCAGAAGTGACATTTAAATAAGTCTTCAACAGTGTTTTTTCCTTCCTGCAAGCAATTTCAGGGTTTCAAAAATATGACTTCTTAGACTATATTAAATATTATATTAAGGCTAGTTTTATATATGTTTTGACTAGATAGGAATTACCTGACAGTCAAAATGTCTTACAAAACTTTTAAAACAAACAACAAAAGCTCTTACTTCAGAAGAATTAAGTGGCATTATAAAATGTGAAATATTCTGGTTGAATCAGGGCAGACAGCTTATAACCAACCTGTTCCCCAAAAGCTCATGGGAGGTAGTTCACTGGAATTTCCACAGGCTTCTGGTCTGACATAGGTCGAGATTGGTCCTAACTAGGGAACTAAGATAAAGGTGAAAACAAGAGGACACTGAGCGAGCAAAAGATGGAGTGGTGTTGACCAGCCTCACATTAGAAGCAGACTGCTCCTTTAACCTGACTCCGTGGAAGAGTTCCTTCTTCCAGCATCGCACTTCGATATTCAAGGAAGAACAACAATAAATCTCCATAGTGGGAATGCAGTATAGTGAGTGGAGAAAAATATTTTACTTTTGAAAAAAAAAAAAGAATATGTAATAGTAATATCTAGGTAAGAGTAATATTAATAAATAAGCATTATGAAAGTCTACTTACAGCCTTTGGGAAGGAAAAGGAAGTGTCCAGAGTTAGTAGATTGGTCCTTAGAGTCTAGTTTATTAAAAATAACTTTACCAAGGGAGTAATCCAAGCCAGGATTACCCTCCTATTCAGTAAAAACACAGGACTTCCAATGTATTGTCAAGGTAATTATCTTAAAGAGAAAATCAGTACCATACTCAAAAGTTGAACAACTGTCATGTTTATAACCAATCAGAATTTACTTACTGAAGTTGAAGATGTGGCTGTAAGCTACATGATTTGTTAGAATTTATAAACATAAGTTACTGAAGATTCATGCAAAATATTTTTCTCCTAAGTAATGCTTACATGCTCAGATCTCTTAGTTAGGTTGGGGATATCTATTCTGACTGTCGAATAAAATTATATATAGATTTTTGCTATATATTTAGGGTAACATTAAATGTTCCTAAAAGAATTAGGAAAATTATTTTGCCTCGTATTTCCTTTCAACTTTATAGTAATATAGGGGTTGCTGTTTTACCTTCATTCAAAACTTAGGAAACTAGCGGCTTCAGGAGCTTACCGGTCTCACAGTAAGGCTCGCCATCCTCCAAGTGGAAAACATTGTTACGGATGGGACTTCCACAGGCCACGCACACAAAACAGGAAACATGCCAAGTTTGTTTCAAAGCATTGATGACTTCCTGTTACAGAAAAAGAATTGGATGTGCAAAAAAGATGACAGCATACAAATACTTATTCTACTAGTTAAACCAATAGCCATTCTAAACTGACCCAAAGTAGACAGCTGTAGGTTGTCTTTGTCTTGAGCTTTCCTCCTAAGTAACAGGAGATACGTAAGGACAGACTTGAAAATCATCTCAGCTAATGCACTTTTTGTGCATTTCCCACAAATACTACCAATAAACTTGTTTAAAGAATGATTAGTGTGTTAAACATTATACAAATGGTGAATAAAGGAAGCATTTCATAAGCGCTTGCTATAATACATTCTGCTTTCTCTCAAAGGGTGTCAGGAAACACTAACTTATAAAGGTTTCATAAGATTATCTTGAAAAATCTCATGGATGAAGGGCAAACATTTAAAAACTAAAACAAACCTATACTTTGGTGCATTATGAAAACAACAACATAATCAGTGTGACCCAATCCGTTTAACACGTGTTTAGTGTTTTGGGAATCAGCTGTGACTGTACTAAGCATACTCAAAAGAGTATCTAAAATTTGAACCATAAAGCATTGATTCTAGCTAACAATGACCCTATGGTTAAATATACCAAGTATCAAATATTTTAATTAGTAAAAGTCTTAGGCAGTTGGTTTTGCAAGGAATCATTTCTTTGGACTGAGAGAAAGAGATGGAGCCATTTAAAAAAAAATCATTTTTGAAGAATAGTTAATAACATGGGAATTTACTCTTTCATAATATTTATCACTAAAAGAAGATGCTATACATAAAGTATGTTTATTATTTTGTAAGTGATTTATTTATAAGGAGCAAACTGGAAGAAAATCCATCCTAAGGTTAACAGGAATTACCTGGGATTGGTAAACATATAGGTCATTTTAATTTTCTTTACATTTTTTTTGTATTTTTCTAATAGTTATAAGGAGAGATGTTTTCTCTTTTAATAAAAATATTATGAAAACAAAAGAAAATGATACAGAATACATTAGCCATAGAAAATGCCAGAGTTCACTATGGAAGGATAATGGAAAGAAATGGCAGTTATTTAGGTCCCAAAAGATTACCATGAACATGTACTACAAATGTGCAATCAACCAAATCATTTCCCAAGGCTTTAAGTATATCCTTCCCTTTATATACTTGAGACAGGTGACTATTCCTTCTTTAGTAGGTATGCATGTAACAGTGGGGATTGTAACCCACCCCACCATTCTTTTGACATTGTTTCTGTCAATGCTGACTCTGATTAATATGTTGCTTGTAGATAAACAGCATGTTTGTATAAGAATCCTAGGAACTAAATTCAGAAGATACAGACTCGGACCTTTGGCCATCCCAGTTCTGGGAGATTTGCTGACCTTCAACCATACAACCAGGATAATGCAGAACTGGATGACACCAGACCATCACTGGACCAGTTAAAGATCCTTAATGCAACGGGCTGTGCTGGTCTTAACATAGAGAACTTTTCAACCCAACCCCCTTGATTTCTTTGTTTTGCCTTCCCTCTCTCTTCTTATAATAACCTCTTCTTTCACTGAGGTGGGGAAATGGGATTTGCAGCATGAGTCCCCTCTGTCTTATCAGGTGACTGGCACTTGAATATCAAGCTTCTTTCCTTTTACCAGCATTTGTCTTGCGAGTCTGGTTTTCCAGTGGCAGGCAGTCACATGGTTTCAGTGACATTTGAACAAGTAAAACGCAGTCCAGTGGCTCTGTCCTTTAGTAAAGGCCACCTCTGAAGCAATGAGTGTGAGGCTTCCATTTCCTAGAGCAGTGGGTGGCAAACTGCAGCTCGCGAGCCACATGCAGCTAGTGAGCCGTGGTTTGCCGCTCTGTAGACTAATGAGTTTGCCGACCACTGTCATATACTTCCCTTTACTTCTTTGTATACAATATGCCACAACTGCCTAATCCTCAAAGCTTCCAACTACACGGTGACATTTAGTCTAGCAGTGGTCGGCAAACTCATTAGTCAACAGAGCGGCAAACCATGGCTTTTTTTTTTTCTTTTTTTTTTTCTTTTTTTTTTTTCCCCAACCACTGTCCTAGAGCATCATTTGGTTCTAAGACTGTTTCTTGACTTTGTTTTATTAATTATTCTAGAATCCTTAGATTTATATACTAAAACAGTATTAATTTTTATTTGGGAAGGCATAGCCTGAATCATTCTATCCTTCTGTTCCAAAAATATTGTATAAATTAATAATATAGAAATATCTCGTGTGGTATATTACTGATTTCTAAGTGTCCTCAAAGTTTTAGGCATACTTAAAGATATATTCTAACACTAAGACTACTCTATAATACATGCTCACTTTTCTCTGGATATTAATTTAGAGTTTCATTATTATATTTTCATAGTGAGAATAGCAGAATTCAGCAATGCCATTTCCAAATTTTGTGTTCCTGGTATGAATTTCGTATGAGACCGGGCAACTTGGCTGCTTCTAAAGTAAAATTCCAACTCTTGGTCGCCCATAGGAAATGCCCGACTCTTACTTTGTAATTGCAAACTGGGTATTCCAGGGTAGAAAATTCATTTATTCATTGTTATTCGTTATGTGCCTGACACCTAAATTACTCCTTTTCTTTCAAAAAAAATTAAAAAGGTATGGTTTTATTATTTTTCTATAGTCTCATAAAACTGAGTTATATTTTTAAACATTATATGCATTCAAGAAAAATATATCATCTATAAGCCTGTTTTATATACTTCATGAGATCGGTGCCCTGTGCTTGAACCCTGACAAGTAGGGAAATGCTGCTCTTATAAAAGCTATGGAATTTAATTTAAAACGGTGAAGGTGTCAGTTCTGAGAACTGATATGTGTGTGGTCCTGTACGGCCTCTTCATTCCCGAGCACACAGGGGCCCGTTGAGGTAGCACACCCACGGTAAATTACTTTTCCTCACAGCGGCTAGACTTCCACCAGACAAGCCAACACTCAGTAAGACAAAACCAAAGACAACCTACCACCTATAAGGCCTATCTGCAGAGGTCTGTTTAGTGTTGCTTTACAATAATAAATAGTGATGAAATAGAGAAGGTATCCAGCAACGAGAGAAAAAAAAAAAAAAAGCCACAATGATAGAAGGCGTTCATAACAAAAATCATTCTATTTTAAAATTCACTCAGAATGAAAAGATTTCCAATACTTACTCCAAGGATCTTCCTTTGGCATCGGCCACATTCCGGAGCAAAGAATTTCTCATAGCACAGCTCACAGTACAGAGCTCCCTTTTCCTCCACAAACCCGATGTAGGCCATTGTGTTTTTGCAGTGAGCACAGTTAAATTCCTCTGGGTGCCAGGATTTCCCCAGGGCCACGAGGAACGGTCCCCTGCCAGGACAGAGATCAAGTTGGCTCAGGAATCAAAGTTTCTCAGCTTTGCCTGAATCGGGCCTCATTTATACAATGTCTAAACAATGAAAGATTTGCTCACTTCTCCTTCTCAAGGACTCAATGTATAGGTGCTGTAATGGTACACGGTGTGCGTTTATGTGAAAAGAGGGGAGGAGTAAGAACACTGAAGGGCCATAGTCCTGCCCCTTTATTCTATCTTCAAGAGATTTGGTAGGCCGAAACTGGTTTGGCTCAGTGGATAGAGCGTAGGACTGCGGACTGAAAGGTCCCAGGTTCGATTCTGGTCAGGGCATGTACCTTGGTTGAGGGCACATCCCCAGTAGGGGGTGTACAGGAGGCAGCTGATTGATGTCTCTCTCTCATTGATGTTTCTAGTTCTCTATCCCTCTCCCTTCCTCTCTGTAAAAAAATCAATAAAATATATTTTTTTAAAAGAGAGATTTGGTAGTTATGATTTTTTTTTCTGAGTTATAATGAGTCTGTCTGTGTCATGATTATGATTAAGAATGAGGATGTTAACTGTGATAGAAAATAAAGTAAACAGAAAAAATGGTGGTTTAGGCAGAGATGAGAGTTTGGCATTTCTATAAAATAAACAAAATAAAATTCTCAATTTGGTAATGTTAGGGTCTTAAAATAGTACTGCCCGATATGACATCCCAGTCAATTTCTCTTCCCCACACATAGGTTCGTATATTTTTCAACTTTATTAAACCCATCAAATCCTCACTTTCCAAAATGACTGCAGAAATTGTAAACTTGTATCGGAGATTGTTTGAAGTTCCTTGGAAAGGTTTTATTTAACTGAAACATGACTTATTTTCAACCCACCTGTATATCAAGGTAACAAACGTTTGTAAAGAGGTTTTTTCCCCTACAAAATACCATACAGTCATGAACCGTTAGGATGGATTCCATTTGCTTGACAGGAATCCATTATGAAGCCTTATCTAGTCACGAAGCCTGCAGAGATTAACCATTTCAGCCTCTGCAACGTTCTTTTCAGTAGCTGCAGCCCACGAATTTTTATTCTTAGAGCAGCTTTACCTCCAAGCCACTCTTACATTTATCTAATTTGTCCGCACAACATCCCTGTGAGAGAGTCCAGGGCAGTTATTAAAAACCCAGTTTAACAGATGGAGAAGCTGAGATAAAGAATGTTCAAAATATATGACAAATTCCGTGAAATCACTGACTGAGTGAAGGCCAGAAGCTGAATTTCCTGATTCCTAGTATGGTGCTCTAGCGCACTGATACTCTGCCTTTGATATCCGCATCGTCATGACCGTCACTGAGCCACCACACGGTAGTTGTTAAGATCAAATACCTGATTTCTAGACAGATTAATAGGAAAGTCACAGTAATTAAGCATCATAAAGTCACATCACTTTTATTTATTTATTTTTTTTTTTAGTTTTAGCCTTATGTTATGTAGGCAATAATATAAACCTTGATATACAGTAACTATCTCCCATTAGGAATTCTTTGCGAATACATTGTTGTTTTCTAAGAACTAGCACTTAATTCTACAAGAGTCAAGAAAGTAGAAGGGTCCTTGACAATGATTAAAATGTGTTCTGTGGGATATAAGAGGCTGTTTTCTCATCCCACTTTTTGTTGCCTTGTATCTTTTTTTTTTAAAAAAAAAAAAGAACTTAAATTTTTATTTTTCAATTACAGTTTACATTCAATATTATTTTGTATTAGTTTCAGGTGCACAACATAGTGATTAGGACAATCATATACTTTACAAAGTGTCCCCCCCCTCTGAATATTTACAGTATGCACCTGACACCATACATAATTACTAAAATATTATTATTGACTATATTCCCTAGGATGTACTTTATATCCCTTTGACTATATGGTAACTCCCAATTTGTACTTAATCCCCTCACCTTTTTCTTATTAATGTGCAATTTTGTATAAGCTAGTGCAAGCAGTTCTCATAGCACCTGAGACTAGTCCTTTATTATTTAAAAAAAAAAAAACTTTAGGGTACTATAGTTTTGTTAACACTAACAAGGAATGACTTTGTTAACCAATTCCTAAGGGGGGTGGGAAGGAGGGCCACAGATCACCCGCCACGTAACCAGTCACGTTACTTTTGGTAGGTTGCCTCTCAATTCTGAACTGGTTTATAAGTAATAGTCCCGCTCAACAACTTCTTTCTTTCATTTTTTCAGTACATATTTGGCAAGTAGTTTTCCTTCGAAGACAAGTCAAGAAGTCATAGTGTTCAAAGTTAGAGTTTTTTAAGAAGCCTAAGCTTTTCCACCAGGTGGGTATCTGGCTATATATGCCAGGCTACATTTACTGTGACTGTAATGTGAGATATGGTATAACGTTAGGGTTTTATGCTACCACTAGAGGCCTGGTGCACAGAAATTTCTGCACTGGGAGGAGTTGTTCCCTCAGTCTGGCCTCCCACTCCCACAGTCTGGGAGCCCTCAAGGGTTGTCCTACTAATGGCTCAGGCCCGCTCCTCTGCAGGAGGTGACCAGGCTGATCAGGAGAAGGCGCCGCCTCCATCGCCCCACTTCTGCTGCCGTTGCCGGCCCTCCTTGGCCCTGGCAGCCGCTACGGCTTTGTCCAGAAGATGTCTGGTCTAATTAGCATACTACCTTTTTATTAGTATTGATTGGTTTGGACATTAAAGTAGTTCAAAACAATTTACCAGCCGAAACCGATTTGGCTCAGTGGTAGAGTGTCGTTCTGCGGGCTGAAAGGTCCCAGGTTTGATTCCAGTCAAGGGCATGTACATTGGTTGCGGGCACATCCCCGGGTAGGGGGTGTGCAAGAGGCAGCTGGTCGATGTTTCTCTCTCAACGTTTCTAGCTCTCTCTCCCTTCCTCTCTGAAAAAAATCAATAAAATATATATATTTTAAAAAAAAAAAATTTACCAGGGTGATTCTACACACACACACACACACACACACAACACTAGTAGCCCTGTGCATGAATCTGTGTGCCAGTTGTTCTCTATGGGGGCCTGGTCGCTCGGTGCCCACTGCCTAGAGGTTCTCCACAGCCTAGAGGCCCATCCATGGCTGAGTGTGGAAAACTTGCCTCATTGCCAGGGTGATGATGCAAGCGTCCCCCCCCCCACCCTCCTACTCTGGCTGCTCTGTGCCCGCTGCTCAGAGGCAATCTGTGGCCTCGTCGTTGTGGTATTGAAGCAAGCATTCCACCAGGCTACTCACGCTGCCCACTCTCAGTAGCCCACCCCCCACCCCGGGACTGGGGGACTCTGGTGGGGCTGAGAGGTCTGGGCGCCACCGTCTTGTGGCTAGGGGTGCCACCATCTTTTGTGACAGAGTGACAGATAATTTGCATATTACCCTTTTATTAGATAGGATGAGTACATCTTCAGTTCATCCACAAGCCTGGATGGCCCCATGAGGCCAGCATCCTTAGGCTTCTCAGTGTGTAAAAGAGTCAACCAACCTCAAACTCTGAATACTGTTAAAGCAAAGGGTTGATATGTAATTGGAATAAAGTTTTACTTCTGGAACACATCTATCAGTGTTACCAAAGAGTTAACAACATTCATCTTAGGAAAAAAAGAAGAGAGAGAGAGAGAGAGAGAGAGAGAGAGAGAGAGAGAGAGAGAGAGAGAGAGAGAGAGAGAGAGAGAGAGAGATATTTAAGAAAATTGGTTAAGAACAATAAAATCCATTTTATAAAATATGTTTTGAGATCAACTCAAGTCCAGCAGAGAAACAGGTTCTGCAAATCCGAGAGACCCATTCCACAGAATCATTCCTTTAATGGCCAGTGTTCAGTGTGATGCCATCGGTCTGCACTGACACCTGCTTCAGAACATAACTCCATGGAACCCACCTCTGGTCCCCCTACTGTTCCACCCAGGGCAATTTTCACAGGCTTCCTTGGGAAATTCCTTTCAGATTTTTGCAATAAGAACAATTTTGCTTCTTCTGAGTAACAGAAGTATTTATCTCATTGTATAGTAATTTGCAAAATTTAACTTCTTTTTTGTTGACTACTACAAGGCTTGAAGCCAAATTTAGCCTAACCATAGCAAGTCTGTGTGTCATTGTTGTAGGTCTTATCCAATCTCAATGACAAATTTCTGTCCAGTGTTCATTTTTAATAGTCCCATTCAAGACTTTTATTCTTCTTTTGATCCCTTTTGTGATTTAGAAGGTTTTCTTTATTACATGCATTTTTTTTTAAAGCTTTCTGGACTAGAGTCCATACAAAAAATAGATAAATAATATTGTCCATTGAAAGGGAAATTTTAAGATATTTCCTTAGTTTCTTTATCATATTTGAATAGTGAATGATCTTAACAACAATAAAGAAACTCCCTCTGCACCTTTAAAGTGAGTTGAAAATGACCCTTGCTCCTGCCAAATCTCCTTTCTTAAACAAACACGCTCTGTGCAGATTCTGACTTAACCTGATACTCCTTGGCTACACTGAGAGTATCTTCCATCAATGCCCTTAAAGTTATGTAGAGATTAAACAATAACATCTTCTGCTTATAACAAAGTACTCTCTTCTCTGTGTTGGCAGAGACTAATTTAACAAATTCATTAACACAGGATTAGCACTGAAGCAGTTCTCTAGTTCCGGGTAGGACTGGGTTTCCATCTGTAAACTGGAATGACAGGCTTGGATAACCGCAAAGTGGAATTAAGTATTCAGCTACCTCTTATGATACTCCGCACCTCATGAGCCCTTACTTAATACTTGTTGACTGATGAAGGGAGGAGGGGAAAGAGTTAAAGCACTGATTGGCCGAGGGAAGGGCTTTGGCGTGAAACTTTCCTCTCTGTTTCTCTTCTTTGGAACTTATGCCAAAAATAAAAAAATAAATAAAGAGCTAGGGAAAGAAGCTAAGAGGTAACAGAAAAAGAAAAGATTACAAATAGGTGAAAAGAATTGCAAATTCATTTTTTTAAAGATTTTTTTAAAATTGATTTTTAGAGAGAGAGACAAACATAGATCA